CTCTTTGGTCTGTCTCTGGTCTCTCTTTGGTCTCTCTCTAGTCTCTTCCCTGGTCTCTCCCTGGTCTCTCTCTGGTCTCTTTGGACTCTCTCTGGTCTCTCCCTGGTCTCTTCCCTGGTCTCTTCCCTGGTCTCTCTCTGGTCTCTCTCAGGTCACTATCTGTTCACTCTCTCTGGTGTCTCTCCCTAGCCTCTTTCTGGTCTTTCTCTCTAGTCTCTCTTCTCTCCCACTGGTCTCCCTATCTGGTCTCTCTCTCTCTGGTCTCTCTCTCTGGTCTCTCTCTCTGGTCTCTCTCTCTGGTCTCTCTCTCTGGTCTCTCTCTCTGGTCTCCCTCCATGATTTCTTCCTCTGGTCTCTCTCTCTAAATAGGACACATAAGGAAATATTTAAGTTTTAAATGTAAAACTTTACCTAAAAGCTGAAGTCTTTAACCCTTTTCTCCTGCAGCTCTATCGCTACAGAGAGAAGCTATAGACCTCTGGTCTCAGGTCCCTTCTGCAGTCCAGGTCCCCGGTCTGGTCCAGGGTCTTTCCTCTGGTCCCCGGTCCCTGCTCAGGTCTGTATTTCTGAGTTCTATATATCACCTATCGGCCTCTTTGAACACTACCATCTCCAGGTCTGTTTGTGATGTCAGACAATGGAGAAAAACAAAGAAAAGGTCAGTTTTGAAGATCAAATGTGTTTTGAAATTTGCATTCTACGTTTTTCCAAATAGAAGAAAGCTGTTTGCAGTATTTGAACTCTCTCAGATGTGTTTTTTATGTGTTTTGCTCGGTGGGCTCTGGTCCCGGCCTCAGTGGAGCTCAGACCTGGTCCCTCTGCACCATCTGTAAACACTACGGCGCAGCCACGTGGACTGGACCCTGGGCAGACCGTCAGGATCCAGGTCTGGGTCTGGGTCTAGGTCTGCTCTGGCGTGGCTTAGGTGAAGAGGGTTCTAGAGCTCCACACACGTGACAAGAGGGACAGCACTACTATGACGTGATGACAGCGTAACGAGCCGTGGAGCTGTGTTCGGGTGAGTCCAACAACATGTTAGAAGCTCTGAACCACAGGGGGCGGGGCCTGTGGTTAAAGCTCCTCCCACCACCACTGTCGCCGTCGGCTTTGGACGCGACAGAGAAACACAAACAGGGTGTGTGTGTCTGTGTGTGTGTCTTTGTGTTTCTGTGTGTGTGTGTGTGTGTGTTTCTGTGTGTGTGTGTGTGTGTGTCTGTGTGTTTCTGTGTGTGTTTCTGTGTGTGTGTGTGTGTGTGTGTGTGTTTGTGTGTGTGTGTGTGTGTGTGTGTGTCTGTGTGTTTCTGTGTGTGTTTCTGTGTGTGTGTGTGTGTGTGTGTTTGTGTGTGTTTGTGTGTGTGTCTGTGTATTTCTGTGTGTGTTTCTGTGTGTGTGTGTGTGTGAGGGGAGACAGATTTAGAGCTAATTTTTGTACAATTCCTGGAGGTTCTACATCTTTGTCAGACACATCGACTAGATCTCACTCTTTACAATACTTTCTGGTCTCTCTCTGGTCTCTCTCTGGTCTTTCTCTGGTCTCTCTCTGGTCCCTCTCTGGTCTCTCTCTGGTCTCTCTCTGGTCTCTCTCTGGTCCCTCTCTGGTCTCTCTCTGGTCTCTCTCTGGTCTCTCTCATGGTCTCTCTCTGGTCTCTCTCTGGTCTATCTCTGGTGTCTCTCTGGTCTCTCTCATGGTCTCTTTCTGGTCTCTCTCTGGTCTCTCTCTGGTGTCTCTCTGGTCTCTCTCATGGTCTCTCTCTGGTCTCTCTCTGGTCTCTTTCTGGTCTCTCTCTGGTGTCTCTGGTCTCTCTGGTCTCTCTCTGGTCTCTCTTTGGTCTCTCTCCGGTCTCTCTCTGGTCTCTCTCTGGTCTCTCTCTGGTCTCTCTCTGGTGTCTCTCTGGTCTCTCTCTCTGGTCTCTCTCTGGTCTCTCTCTGGTGTCTCTCATGGTCTCTCTCTGGTCTCTCTCTGGTGTCTCTCATGGTCTCTCTCTGGTCTCTCTCTGGTCTCTCTCTGGTCTCTCTCTGGTCTCTCTCTGGTCTCTCTCTGGTGTCTCTCCGGTCTCTCTCTGGTCTCTCTCTGGTCTCTCTCTGGTCTCTCTCTGGTGTCTCTCTCTGGTCTCTCTCTCTGGTCTCTCTGGTCTCTCTCTGGTCTCTCTCTGGTGTCTCTCCGGTCTCTCTCTGGTCTCTCTCTGGTCTCTCTCTGGTCTCTCTCTGGTGTCTCTCTGGTCTCTCTCTCTGGTCTCTCTGGTCTCTCTCTGGTCTCTCTCTGGTGTCTCTCATGGTCTCTCTCTGGTCTCTCTCTGGTCTCTCTCTGGTCTCTCTCTGGTCTCTCTATGGTCTCTCTCTGGTCTCTCTCTGGTGTCTCTCTGGTCTCTCTCTGATCTCTCTCTGGTCTCTCTCAGGTCTCTCTATGGTCTCTCTCTGGTCTCTCTCTGGTCTCTCTCTGGTCTCTCTCTGGTCTCTCTCAGGTCTCTCTCTGGTCTCTCTCTGATCTCTCTCTGGTGTCTCTCTGGTCTCTCTCTGATCTCTCTCTGGTCTCTCTCTGGTCTCTCTCTGGTCTCTCTCTGGTCTCTCTCTGGTCTCTCTCCGGTCTCTCTCTGATCTCTCTCTGGTGTCTCTCATGGTCTCTCTCTGGTCTCTCTCTGGTGTCTCTCATGGTCTCTCTCTGGTCTCTCTCTGGTCTCTCTCTGGTCTCTCTCTGGTCTCTCTCTGGTCTCTCTCTGGTCTCTCTCTGGTCTCTCTCTGGTCTCTCTCTGGTCTCTCTCCGGTCTCTCTCTGGTCTCTCTCCGGTCTCTCTCTGGTCTCTCTCTGGTCGCTCTCTGGTCTCTCTCTGGTCTCTCTCTGGTCTCTCTCTGGTCTCTCAGCTGGTTTTGCTGCACAGCTGTTCTGCTCATACTTGTGATAATGAAACACATGAATGAAAGTTGGAAGTTTGTCAGTGGAAACGGAACGGTTTAATTATATGTAACAAACAAATATCTGGATCCACGTAGCACGACTGCTCGGCTTTAAAGGATAATGTGAATCGAGACTTTCTCTCTTTTCTCCATGTTCCAACATTAATCCTCATCCGTCACAGACCTAGGGTTGTTTTTAAATCCATACACGCTCAAATCAGGAACGTCTATCTCAGTCCTGTAACGGATGATGTCATTGCACCAGTATGACATAGACAGAACAATGACAGAAACAAATGTCAAGAGACCAGAGAGAGACCAGAGAGAGACCAGAGAGAGACCAGAGAGAGACCAGAGAGACCAGAGAGGGAGACCAGAGAGGGAGACCAGAGAGGGAGACCAGAGAGGGAGACCAGAGAGAGACCAGAGAGACCAGAGAGGGAGACCAGAGAGGGAGACCAGTAAGGGAGACCAGAGAGAGAGACCAGAGAGAGACCAGAGAGAGACCAGAGAGAGACCAGAGAGACCAGAGAGACCAGAGAGGGAGACCAGAGAGGGAGACCAGAGAGAGACCAGAGAGAGACCAGAGAGGGAGACCAGTAAGGGAGACTAGAGAGAGACTAGAGAGAGACCAGAGAGAGACCAGAGAGAGACCAGAGAGAGACCAGAGAGAGACCAGAGAGGGAGATCAGAGAGAGATCAGAGAGAGATCAGAGAGGGAGATCAGAGAGAGACCAAAGAGAGAGAGAGACCAGAGAGAGACCAGAGAGGGACCAGTTAGAGACCAGAGAGGGAGATAAGAGAGAGAGACCAGTTCCTTTTAACATTGGAATGTGAATTGGGCGGCTGAGTGGATAGCACTCTCGCTTCCCAGCAAGAAGGTCCTGGGTTTGAATCTCTGACTGCCTCCCCCCGACCCCGACACCCCCGAGTGTCTATAATTAGTTTAGTTTATTGTGTATTTGGTTGGGACAGTTTGTTAATGAACACATAACTCCAGATTGTAGCCCTGGGCTATTTCCCATCCATCCTCCCACACTCACTCTCACAACCACACACTCATTCACCCTGAACGAATGTACATATTTTTAGTGGTATGGGAGAGACTCTGTTATGACCGGGATTTGAACCCAGGACCTACTTCACAGCAAGAGTGCTATCCACTCAGCCACTGTGAAGGCAATTTATGGAGTTACAAGCCGAAAGCAAGCAATCTCTCTCTCTCTCTCTCTCTCTCGCTCTCTCTCTCTCTCTCTCCCACCCTCTCTCTATATCTTTCTTTCTTTCTCTCTCTCTCTCTCTCTCGCTCTCTCTGTCTCCCCCCTCTCTCTATCTCTCTCTCTCGCTCTCTCTGTCTCCCCCCTCTCTCTATCTCTCTCTCTCTTTCTCTGTCTCCCCCTCTCTCTATCTCTTTCTCTCTCTCTCTCTCTCTCTGTCTCTCTGTCTCCCCCCCTCTCTCTATCTCTCTCTCTCTCTCTCTCTCTCTCTCTCCTGCAGGTGTTTGTCGGCCGATTTTTCTCTGTGTGAGACCCCACACAGGGAGATAAAAAATCACGGGTCTAACCACTTTGGTCGTACAGTGTGTGGTGCGCAGCCACACGGCAGAAATCACGCAAACCACACACGAACCGATCCCCCCCCCCCCCCCCCGAGTATTCACAGATCAGACGGAAATCTCAGGTCTCGCGAGATCAAGCGTGACTTCAGAGTAAACACACATGGCGGACGAAGAGGATGCATTGGCGATAGTTTGTTTTTATCAGAGAAAAGACGTAATGAAAAGAAAAGGCGATGGTCAAAGAAGTGTAGACAACACGAGCATGGACTATACTTGCTACATTGTGATATGGAGGCGTTTCCTCACCGCCTCGTCTCGTCTTCTGATTGGCTACACGCCGCAGTCATGGCAACGCGCACGTCTGTCCTCGGGGGACACCACACACGAAGAGAAATCGGGCCAAAACAATCCAACATGTTGGATATCCCCGATTTGAGATC